ACTCCCCCAAGGGCCCACTTTGGCTGGGGGTGGGCCAAGAGGAAGCCAGGAGCCAGGAACTCCATCCAGGGTCCCCCACGGCTGCCAGGGACCCAACTCCTCCAGCCACCTGCTGCCCCCTCGGGTGTGCGTTAGCAGGAAGGAGGCTGGACTCAGGAGGGGAGCCGGGACACAAACCCAGACACTCTGACAGGAGACGGGCGTCCCAGGCAATGTCCTAGCTACCAGGCCAAAGGCCCCCACATGACAAACCATTTTTATAACAGTCACTCTTCTTCTGCTTATAAATTCTAAGGGAATACATCAGGAGCCTGTGACCTGGGCCATAGCTGCCAGGCCTAGCCGCTTCAGGGCTTATCTTCCGAATCTTTGTGCTGTCCATGTCCTCGTGTGTGTGTGTGTGTGTGTGTGTGTGTGTGTGTGTGTGTTTAGGATGGAGACATCAGTTGCATTCGGTTCAAACATGTACAGTCAGCTAGCAGCCACCAAAACACGACGTCAAGCAGGTGCATCATTCCGGAAGGCCCCCTGGGCCAGTGCCTGCCCTCCGCCTGCAGCCCCAGCGGCCGCCAGTGTGTGTTCCTGCTTTCCTTTTCTGGACTGTCATATAAATAGGCCCAGACGGTACGCAGCCTGCCCTGTCTGGCTTCTATCGCCGCGCACGCTGGATCCACCGCCCTCTGCCTTGCTGTGTGGCTCATCCAGTCGTCAGCTGGCGAGCATTTAGATGTCCCCGGCTTTAGGAACGGTGAGGTTTATCCGACACTGCGTCTCCACCCCCATCCCCCCTGCAGCGCATCTGTTCTTTGGCCTCTTTTTGTCTCCCCCGGCAGGGCTGGGGGGATTTCGGTGGAAGCCACGTGCCGGGTTCTGTGTTCTGCACAGCGTTTCTCCCAGGTTGAAGCCTGCCTTTTGCTAACACCGTTTTGACAGCCCAACTTCCTGGTCTGGCCAGCTGTTGTCTATTGTGGTGTGGAGCCTGGGGTCTCATCTTTGCCTGATGCAAAGCCACAAGCATCTTCCCCCAGAAGTTTCTAGTGTCCACTCTCCCGTGAGCACTGGTGTGTGGTGTGAGGTAGGGGTGAAGTGTGGCTCCTGCACCCTGTGTTGATGGTGACCCTGCAGTCGGAGACAAAACCACTTTGCAAAGAGGGAGCTTGGCGAGTCTGTGTCCATGCACCTCGCCGCCCGGGGTCCTGATCTAGAACGGACCCAGGGCTGTGGGTAGTGCTTTGCTGTGAACAAGGGACCCCACAGGTCGAGCGTCGGCTCCAGCTGTGCGCATGGACACGACTGTGGCCGTTGCTTGTGACGTAATCGTCAGTGACAGCCAACACTGTACTGAGTAACGCGATGTGCGAACGCCGACCTCACCGTCTTGGTGGCGCAGGCCATGCTGTCCACTCCTCCTGCCAGCTGATCTAGAACTTTCCATGCTCCGTGCACTCATCACTCCTAAGCGAGCGTTTCTCGATTTTGGAGCAGGAACTATTTCCCTGCCCCAAGACGTAGCCGTCTCTGCCTTGGGCGTGTGCTGTGTGGCAAAGGGCGAGCAGAAATCAACAAGGGGTTGGTTGGAATCCCCCGAGGCCGCCAGCCAGGAGCTGCAGCCTTCCCAGGCCAACTCGGGCTGGAGGAGGAAGGGAGGCTCCCCCGGGGCCCGGGAGGATGTGGGAGTATGGGGGCTCCAGTGCCCGTAGAAGGAGAGGCAGGAAGAAGCGGCTGAGGATGGAGAAGGACTTCCTGCCATTCAAGGGCTCGTTCTGGCCCTGCCCGGAAGACCCTGCCCCGCAGCCTCAGCCCTGTCGTGCAGGGAGGCGGCTTGGGTCTTGGAAGCCTTTGCTTCCGCCCCGGCCAATGGCAGACTCTCGCTGCCCCCCCTGCCCCGAGGCCGCGTTGGAAGGTTAACGTACGGCCGGCGGAACCCGGCTCAGCGTCCTGGGACCCTGGGCAGGTGTGCGGAGGCGCCGGCCACCGCCCGTCTCGCCGCCTCGGTCTTCACAGCTGAGGTCATGCTGTGTCCGTCCTCGCGAAGGAAAATCCCCAGCTCCCGGGAGGATGCGTGCGTCGGGGCCGGCGGTGCCCTGCGTCCGCAGCCATGGTCATCAAGCAGTGCAGCTTCAAGTCTGGCCTCGTCCCTCTGTGGTTCCCACCAGGCCTCCCACACACACGGCCACCGTGGCTCTCTCGGCGGCCACGGAGACTCTGTCCTGTGAGCGCCGTTGAAGCACAGCCGAGAGAGGTTCCACTGGAACTCACGTTGAACCCGGGGCACTCCTGTGCCAGACCTTGCTGCGAGCCCCACCCTCACGCCGACCAGGCTCTGCTTCTGCAGAGGGACTGTCTCCCCGGCACAAAGGCCCCCGTGCGGTGGTCCCAGCCTTTCAGTAAGGGAGGAGCTAGAGAGCGGCGTGGGACACATACGGCTCCCCATGGCTCCCCAGAGCCCGGTGCAGGGCAGACAGGGACTGTCCTGGGGACCCCGGGAGCTAAAACCCTCGCCATGCTTCCCCAGAGACGGGCGGTGAGTGGAGGGCACTGGGCATTCCCGTCTTTGCCAGGACGGACCTGTGGGCACTGGGGCCATGGCCCGGCGGGGCCGGGGCAGGAAGCAGCGCGGCGCCACCTGCTGTTAGCCCCTTCCCGTGACGTCCGTTGGCCATAAGGGACATTCTATGGAAATACTCTTATCAGGGGCGTGCGGGAGTCTCGGGGCTTTGGAGACTCACGTAAAGACCGTGAACCGGACTCCTGCCGTCTCCGGGGTAATTTTTATCGGCAACGTCGCTCACGACAGAAGGAAAGGAAGAGTTAGAAATAACCTTTCCGATGGGGACTTCCCACCCAAGCATGGGCGGGGACGGGAGGTTAGCACACAGGGAATCCTCCTCGCTGGCCGGTCGCACACGCGCTGCAGCTCCTGGGGACTGCCTCCTGCCTGGCGGCCAACACGGCGTTCCAGTGGCGTCCTTGGCCTTGACCTCGCAGTGCACGGTTCACAGTCTGGACAGGAGTGAGGCTCGTCCCCAGGGTCTCAGGTCTACATCGCATCCTCCCCGCCCTCCGCGGCCCTTGCTCAGCGCAGACGCCGGGCTGGGCTCTGGAACCTTCCGTCCATGGGCGGCTCCGAGGTGACACCCTCTAGACGCACACTCAGGCAGCCGTAGCCGAGAAAATGGAAGAAGCCAAATGAGGCCAGGACGCGGGGAGACTGGAACCCTTGTGATGGGAGTGCAGGATGGTGCGCCCGTAAGGACTGGAGGTGGGAACTCGGGTGCTGGTTCACACACGTTCACACCAAGACTACACACAAGGGTCAAAGGCTAGAAACAGTCCAGGTGAACGGACACATCGTACCCGACATTCCGTACCTGGTGTGTTACTCCGCCAGGAAGTGAAGCACTGATACAGGCTCCCGTGTGCGTGTGCAGGAGCCACGCCTGCCTGTGCCCCAGGCCGGGAGACCAGGGCAGCAGCCTTGCCCCTGGAACACTCTCCAGAGATGGCTCAGATGCACGGGCCTCACCCGCCTACCGGGCTTGGGACCAGGCTACCCCGGGGAGAGTTTGCTGACCGTGGCGCTCTCTGAAGGCTTCCTGGACATGCGGAAGGTGGAAGACAAGATCCCACCGTGCCCACAGCTGGACCCTGGGCCAGGCGAGGCCCTGGGGGAGCAGGGGAGCCGCAGTTCCTGGGGGTCCTCTGAACCGCATCCTCCCAGTGAGTGGTGCTCACCGCCTCCCGTACACCAGGGGCTGGCCCTCGGACGACCGGGCATCAATGCTCAGAGTGAGGTCTCCCCGCCCCACTCTGCCAGGGCCCTGGCGTGGGGCACAGCGTCCTGGGCAGGCAGACACCCCTCCTGCGGGGCAGTTTCTGCAGGAAATGTCCTTAGGGTCAGGGAAGGAGCTGACCCCACCCCCGCTCCACATCAGGGCAAGGAGGAGCTGGGACCATCTTGGCAAAATGCCCTTGGCGGGGGAAGGTTGCAGGCGAGGAGCAAACAGCGGGCTCACCCCGACAGACGCTAACCCGCAACTGTATACTCCAAGGATTAGTTCCATCGGTCACAGGGAAACCCTTTTCATTATTAAGAATTTCTTTGGGATACTTTGGCTTTTTCCTTGCTTGTTGTGGTTAACACATGTGCCACCTGAGGTTGACCATTGTAGCCGTTTTCCAGTGTCCTGTTCCGTGGCGCGAAGGACATTAACCTTGCTGCTCCGGCCACCACGCAGGGAACCCACAGCTCCACTGAACGCCGCCCCTGCCACAGCCCTGCAACCCCTCCCTGCCACCGCTTTCCATGATATCGGTATTTTAGGTGACTCCGCTGGAAGGGGAGTCTCCCGGGACTCGTCGTATCTGGCTTATTTCTTACCATAACCGTCCGGGGCACGTGCCCCGCCAGGTGCTGGGACTTCCTTGGTGGACCGAGGTCCCCAGATGCAGCCAGTTGTTTGCCTGTTCTGCACTGCTGAGACGTCAGGGCAGTGGTCAGCTCTCGGTGTCGTGCACACAGCTGTGCGTCTGTGCAGGTCCCGCTCGGTGTCACAGGGCGGGGTGGGCCCGCCGTGGCCGTGGCCATGGGGAGCCTCAGGCTCTGGTTTCTCCACATCCTCGCTTGTCATTTTGATTTGAAATTTGCCGTCCTAAGGAGCGTGGACGTGTGTGCTTGTGGTTCCCGAAACCCCATCTCTTCTGTGTGTGTGAATGAAAGAGGTGAATACCTCCCCAAGGTCCCAGGGTCACTGTGGTGCCTGGGCGGCCTCCCCGCCTGCTACATCCGTGCCGGGGAGAGGATGGAGCCAAATTGCAGGAATCCGCCTGGGACGTGGTTTGCACAGTAAGAAGCCGAGAACGCCCTTCCCCTTCCAGCCAGCGTCGTGGCTTGTGATTTAGCATCGCTTCATGTCGCCTTTAACACTTCCAACTCCCAGACTGTCTGCCTTCTGTCTTCAGGCAGAAATCCCTGTCCCTGTCGTGGCTGACGAGCGCAGTTTTCTAGAACCTTCTCTGAAGATGGCAGCTGTGACCGGAAGTGTGTGATCCTCCTGGAATCTGACCGTGTGCTTTTCCTGCAGGGCCAGCCTGGGCCAGTGGGCCCCCAGGGCTACACCGGACCCCCCGGCCTACAGGGGTTCCCAGGACTGCAGGGCCGCAAAGGCGACAAGGGCGAGCGGGGTGCCCCCGGAATAACCGGGCCCAAGGGAGACGTGGTAGGTCCAAGCAGGGCCTCCCCCCGTGTGTGGGGGGGACGTTAGGGGTCTCGGGCGGGACCTAACCCCATGTGTGTGGGTATTTAGGGGCCTCAGGCGGGGTCTCCCTGAGTGTGTATGGACTTGGAGGTATCGGTGGGCCTCCCTGAGTGTGTGTGGACTTGGGGGTCTCAGGCGGGGGGCTCCCTGAATGTGTGTGGACTTGGGGGGTCTCGGGGGTCTCCCTGAGTGTGTGTGGATTTGGGGGTCTCGGTTAGGGCCCTCCCTGAATGTGTGTGGACTTGGGGGGTCTCGGGGGTCTCCCTGAGTGTTTGTGGATTTGGGGGTCTCGGGGGGCCTCCCTGAGTGTGCATGACTTGGGGGTTTCGGTTAGGGCCCTCCCTGAGTATGTGTGGATTTGGGGGTCTCGGGGGGCCTCCCTGAATGTGTGGACTTGGGGGGTCTCGGGGATCTCCCTGAGTGTGTGGATTTGGGGGTCTCGGGGAGCCTCCCTGAATGTGTGTGAACTGGGGTGTCTCAGGTGTGGCCTCCCTGAGTATGTGGGGACTTGGGGGTCTCGGGGGGCCTCCCTGAGTGTGTGTGGACTTGGGAGTCTCAGGGGGACCTCCCTGAGTGTGTGTGGATTTGGGGGTCTCGGGGGCCTCCCTGAGTGTGTGTGGACTTGGGGGTCTCGGGGGCCTCCCTGAGTGTGTGTGGACTTGGGGGTCTCGGGGGCCTCCCTGAGTGTGTGTGGACTTGGGTGGGGCCTCCCTGAACGCATCTGCTTTCTTCCTAGGGAGCCCGCGGCGTCTCTGGGTTTCCTGGAGCTGACGGAATCCCTGTAAGTTTTTGAAGCTAAGCATTGCAGAACACCATGTGCGTTCTAAGCCCTGCAGTTATGACTTACAGAAATGCATGGAGCAAGACCTCCTGTTCTGTTTAGAACACGAGAGGCGCGGGGGCCCCATCTGCGTCTTTCCCCCCCAGAACCCAAATGCTGGACCGGCTGTGTCCTTTGTCGGTGTCCGTAGGGCTGTGGGGCAGAACCGGGCTGCACTGCAGATCTGGGCCCCGGTTTGGAATAAAAGCCAGGTGAGGCTCAGGTGTGCCCGGTAAGGCCCCGCCAGTCCCCTGCAGAGCCGGGACTGCGGACGGGGCGAGGCTGGCTCAGCCCTGGTGCAGTTTCTCAAATAAAATGAGCGAAAGAAAAGGCATGGGGCGTCCATGAGAAAAATCTCCAAACGCAATAAAATGTGTTTTTATAACCTAGTTTACTCCGCTTCTTGTGGTATAAAAAATAAACAAAGCGGCCTGACTCAGAGCCTTCCTGGGGGCTCCGGGGCAGAGTTCCCAGGGCCGGCTTCCTGGCCAGACCTGACCTTGGGGATGAAGATGTTTATCGCACGTCCCGGGGCGCCTCCCGCCTGGGCAGCTGTGGTGCTGGGCGACCTCACGTGTGTGCCGAGGCATCTTACCTACATCACACGCATGTGCACACACGTGTATGCATAGACATGCATGCATGCGCATGCTCACGGGGCCAGAGCCGCCCTCCCAGGCTGCAGGAGCAAATAGAAGGCGGGAGAGGGGGTGGTCCCAGAGACCCCAGCCCTTCCCATCTTTAGCTTCACGTCCAGGAAGTCGCTTGCAACACAAGGAAGCAGCATGGAGAGGAAGTCATGTTTCGCGAGACACGAGCCCCCGGTGGCCCGGGGACCCTCGGTGTCAGCTGAGTGGGGGCTCAGACGCTCACGCGTTGACGCCACACAGCTGTGGGCCACGGGGACCTGGAGCAGCGGTCAGAGCTGCAGGGGCATGTGTTCCCTTCAGGCGCTCAGCAGATCATCAAAGTGCCGGGCCCAAAGGGAAATCTCCCGGGCTTTTAAACTCCTTGGATGTCGCCGCCAGAGAGCCAGCTCTGGGCGTCTGGGAGATCGCACCGCGGGTTTTACAGGCGCAGTGCGGATTTCTCGGACGCGCCAGAGCTTGACTTAAAAGACTGTCAGGTTCATCTCGGATGCAGTGACTCCGGCGGAGAGATGTCCAAGCAGTGGGAGCCTTCTGCTCCCTCAGCATTTCAGCGTGCAGGGCACAAGGTCCTGTTTGTGTAGGATTTTTTCCGTTTCTCTTAAAATTCCCCAAATCTCTCCGAGTGATAGTGGAAGACACCCTGGCGACCTCCAGCTCTCACTCTGGAATGCATGTTTGGTTTCTTATCCAGGAGACCAAGGCCGAGAAGAAAATGCACGGTGATAAAGCTTCTGTCTAAATACCTCCAAAGAAACAAAAATTCAGGCTGCAGCCCTGTGGTATATGACGCACAGCCTGGCCCTGGGTGCACTGGTCTGGTCTGGCGCGTCCTGATTGCTCAGCAGATCCTGAGGAGCCAGCAGCTTCTAGAATCTTCTAGAATTTCCCAGTCTTCTCTTACCTGTCCCTGCTGAAAGACCGTTGCCCGAGGAAGCCAGACAGAGGAAACCCTAGACAGCTGGCTTCTTCCTGAAGCCCGTGTGAAACGGGGCTTTGTCCCAAAAGCCCGTCCCCAGCTCGGGGCCTTAGGTTTATCACTCACGGGTTCATCCGTGTCTGCATTATCACTTCCTTGGGCTCAGGCCAGGGACATCATTTAGGGGAATGTCCACGGCTGGTTTACCTCACAGCCCCTTGATGGCCGAGACCACGGGCTGGGGGCCTCACCCACTCTCGTCTTCCACAGGGACACCCAGGGCAAGGCGGCCCCAGAGGGCCACCCGGCTATGACGGCTGCAACGGGACCAGGGGCGACGAAGGCCCACAGGGTCCCTCCGGCACTGGCGGCTTCCCCGGCTCACCCGTGAGTACCCCCAGGGCATGGGGTGGCCAGGGGGCAGGGCAGGACCCTGGCCCGCTGTGAGTACCCCTGGGACACAGGGCAGGGCGGGTGCATTGCCTCCGCGTGGCTCCGTGGTGGGCTGGGCAGGAGACCCCTGCAGGGCGCGCCTCTCAGGCCTCCCTCTGTTAGGACCCCGGGAGGTTTTCCTGGATCTGTGTTCACTCTGTCCACGCGAGATGGAAAAGAGCTGGTTTGGTTCATGTTCTTGCCACCTGCAGTCTGTCAGTTCACTGTCCCCCGTACGAGATTCAAATGACAGTAAAAGCACAGTGGGGTGCCCAGTGGCTCACTCCCCCAGATGCCCGGGATAGCCAGGCTGGGCCAGGTGGAGGAGGACGGTCTCAAATCCCCTTCTCGTGTTCATGGTTTCACCTCTCCCTCGAGTCCCCCGCTCCTGGCTGTTTCCTTCTTCTGTGGTTCCACTTTTCAGTAAACTACGTGGTTTTCTGTTACATTAAAACACCACTTTCCCTAAAACCTCCGTACATACACCGTATGTCGCACACTTCCGGTGTTAAAGACCAGCCCGGCGTCTCTCCCACGAGGTGCCTGAGAGCTGAGGGTGGCCGTGTCCCACACACCATGGCCAAGCCTGCCCAGACACCATCACGAAGGAGCATGGGCGCCTGGGTATGCAGAGGAAACAGCTCTGTCCGGGCTCCCGGGAACGAGACTGTGGGCAGACAGGAAGTGGGACGTCCCCTCTGAGCTCAGGTGGCACAGGAAGGGCCACGGGAGCAGTGGGCGGTGCCCGTGAAGCCCGAGCTCGCTCCCCCGCGTGGCCGCGGCTGCCGACTGCCCGGGTGTGAACGTGTTCTCTGTCTGTTGCCTTTTTATGATGAATCCGCTGCTGTAGGGGCCCCAAGGACCCAAGGGGCAGAAGGGTGAGCCGTACGCGCTGTCTGAAGAGGACCGTGACAGATACCGGGTGCGTGGGCGCAGGCGGGGGGGAGGGGTCGCCCCATCCAGGGGGGAGGGCCTTCCTCTGAGTGGGTGCATGAGCGGAGAAGGCAGGCGTGGCACTGGCTGGTCACGGTGGCCTCCATCCCTGCTGCTGTCGGCCGTGTGTAGCTTCAGGCCCCAGTGAGGGCGCTGTAGCGTCCAGGACACGTCCAGCTCCCGGGTTTGTCATTCACAGCTGTAACTCTGCCCGTTCCTTTTTCCCCACTAGGGTGAAATCGGAGAACCGGGGCTGGTCGGCTTCCAGGTAAGCCTTGTGTTCCTTCCAGAATGTTCCAAAGGGAAGCTTCAGAACTGCAGGACTGCGGTGTCAGCCAACCCCCTTAACCACTCCCTCTCCTTGTCTGTCCCCAGGGGCCTCCCGGCCGCCCCGGACCTATGGGGCCGATGGGCCCAGTTGGCGCTCCAGGAAGACCGGTAAGCACCTGGCCCCTCGGCACCTGACAGGGGCGTGACAGACGGGCCATCCTTTGCACACACACACACACGTGTGTTGCTGCTTTTGAGGTTGAAGAGTGAGGACCATGTCAGCTGTGATGTGGAGCCCAGCGCCCTTCCAGTCACACACAAGCTGTGCCAGCCCCTGCACCCACCCACCTGACAAGGGGCCCCCACCCTGGGCACAGCAGACCCCGTAAGGGGCAGGAGCCAGCCGGGGTCTCGTGAGCTCCCAGCAGACTGCATTTCTGCAGCCCCAGGGCCTGACCCTCGCTGGGGTCACCACAGGCAGCTGGAGGACTTAGGGGAAGCTCACAGAGCAAAGTAGCCAGTGCGGGACCCGGCAGCCCTGTCCGCTCCCGCCGGCTCTCTCCGTCTGCGAGACAGATGTGGTGGGAGCCTGTGTACACACAGGCCAGCAGCGGTGGCTCCGCGGGGATTTGCAGGAGTCACCTGGGACCCCAGGTGCAGAACACACTTTGCAACTTGGCCTTGTCTTTGTGCAGGGACCACCTGGACCCCCGGGACCCAAAGGACACCCTGTAAGTAGGGCTGGCGGTGGGGAGGGGAGGGGACTTGGGTGTTGCAGCCTTCATTCAGCGCACCTGGAACTCCTCTCTGACAGCCGCGTGCCGCGAGGATGGGGGGGGTGGGGCACGTGGCAGGTTGTTAAGTCTTAATGTCAGGCTCTCATGATAACTCGGCCGAGCCGCGGCTGGCGGATTAGATACCACGTTTGCAAATCCTTAGCACGGCCCTGTTGCTGTGAGAAACCTCACCGTGACCCTCTGATTGAAGCCTGGGCTAGACCAGTTCATGGGGCGTTCACACGCACCCACGGGTGTTAGCTTACGAGGGCGCTTCAGAAAGGCCGTGGAAAATGGAAATGGTAGGAATTCATTTTGCTGCAGAACAACTTTGAAATCCATGCATAGGTTTTTAATAACGATTTCCATGAACTTTTTTTAATATTTATTTATTTATTTGAAAGGCAGAGTGAGAGGGAGAGAGAGAGCCTTCATCCGCTGGTTCACTCCCCAGGTGGCCACAATGGCCAGGGCGGGGCCAGGCTGAAGCCAGGAGCTTCTTTCTGGTCTCCCACATGAGTTCCAAGGAAAACCTTCCATGTAGGGTGCAGGGGCCCAAGCGCTTGGGCCATTTTCCACCGCTTTCCCAGGCCATTAGCAGGGAGCTGGATCAGAAGTGGCGCACCCGGGACTTGAACTGGCGCCCATGTGGGATGCCTGCATTGCAGGCAGTGGCTTTACCAGCTGTGCTACAACTCTGCCTCCCTCCGTGAACTTCTGCAGACCCCTGGTGTCTGTCGTAGGGAGAGGGAGGCTGTGTTTCTACCCCGGGTGTGATTAGGCGTCCGAGGGTGCAGGGTTGGCCTCTGGGGACATGGACTAGACCTACACGATTGTCATCAGAGGAAGGCTGTTAATTTGGTGGGGCGTGAGAAGGCAGGCGGTCAGTTAGAGAACCAGAGAGCGATGGCCGGGGCAGGGGGATCCGTGTCCCGCACAAGCTGAAGGGGCTTGCCGAGGCCCGTATTTGGGGAGACTTCGCAGGAGCCGGGAGCTGCTCCCAGGGACTTCTGACCACCACTGCCTGTGTCCCCATGAGGACACATCAAGCCCTCACACCCCACGCCTGCTCCACGGGAAGTCCTCTCTCTCTGCCCCCTTGGCCACGGCCACCCTGCCCTCCCCCGGGCCCCCCGGGGCCCCGTCCCCTCTGGCCGGAGCTTGCTGAGGCTGCTGGTCCTCCCACCGTGGCCTGGGGCAGGGGAGGGAGGCTCGGAGCTGGGAGCGGCCCAGGCGGGAGCCGAGGCCCGGCTCTGATCTCCCCTGGCCACCGCACACGGAAGGCCAGGGCACTTCCTGGGCACTTCCTGGGCACTCGGCAGCCGGCTCGGGAGGCAGAGCGAGGTCGTGGGGGACTCTTGCCTGCCTGCCGGGCCTGGCTCACTGCCCTGTGGGCGTTCATCGCCACCCCCAGCCAGGTGGGAAGGCGAAGGCAGAGATTCATTAAAGCTTTGTTTTTGTTTTCCAAAAAGACGGGGCGGGGGCAGGGGGCGGGCGGCACACTGCAGAGCGGAAGATCCCACAGGGTCTTTGGTCGCTGCGGGAACCGGGAAGCCCTGGGAGAGAAGCAGCCTGGTTTGGAAGGAAGGGGGGGGCGCTGTGTGTGGGGTGCGTGGATCCCACCCCCCAGGGTCCAGACGACCTCCCAGATCCAGAATCTCGAATGCTCGCAGAGAAGCAAAACGGAAGACGGAAAGATCGGCTTACACGGAACGTCTCCCATCGCTGGATTCCGATCCACCTGGAAAGGGGGGGAGGGTGGGATCAGGCCACGCGCTGCAATGAGCAAAGGCTCCGGCCAGAGGGAGGCCGGGTCCGCTCCATCGTCTGCTCCAGGGAAATCGGGGCCTGTGCGCTTCCACGGGCGGCTGCGGGGGTGGCAGGCGGGGCCTTGGCTCCGGGCGTGCCCAGGACGTGGCCCACCCGTCGGGCGCGCGCTGTGGGTCAGCACTGTCGCTGTGGATAGGTTGGGGGTCTCTCTAGCGCAAAATGGTGGTCAGCGTCTGAAATCTTACAGAAGCCATTTGTCTCTTCAGGGCAACCGCGGACTTGGTTTTTATGGAAAAAAGGGTGAGAAGGTAAGGGCCCGGCGGGTGCACACAGGGCAGCCGGGTGCAGCACCCTCCCGGCCGGGTTTGCTGCTGCTCTCTGGGGTCCCGTGCAGAGCACTGGCACAGGGAACGTGGGACGCCGCCCGTCCCCCAGCACGCTGCAGACGGTCACGCGTGGGTCAGACACGGGACACAGGCCCAAGGCTCTGGCCTTGACCTCCAGGGTCAGCCCCTGTCCAGCTCCTCTCAGGTCTCCTCCCCCACCCACACCCCCCACGCACCAGGAAACACTTTCACCCACACCCCCCCATGCACCAGGAAACCCCCGCCCACACCCCCATGCACCAGGAGACCCCCACCCACACCCCCATGCACCAGGAGACCCCCACCCACACCCCCATGCACCAGGAGACCCCTACCCACACCCCCCATGCACCAGGAGACCCCTACCCACACCCCCCATGCACCAGGAGACCCCCACCCACGCCCCCATGCACCAGGAGACCCCCGCCCTGCCCCGTTCACTGACGCCTCGTTTGCGTCGTCCCCGCTGCTCTCTGAGCGCACACCGGGTGGCATCGGCACTGCCCAGTGTGAAGAGAAGATTCCGTTCTTGGCGCTGATGGCACAGGAGAAGTCAGACAGAAACACTGCAGATCCCAACATGCAGACGTAGACCCCTGCAATGAGCTGGATCAGGGTGGCCGCAGGAAGAAAGTGGGGGAGGGAGCGTGGGCGGGAGGGGAGGATGGACACGCGGGGTGGGACGGAAGCCAGGTCGGCGCGTGTGGTGGACAGTGTAGACTGCTAACCAGGTTGGTGCGTGTGGTGGACAGTGTAGACTGCTAACCAGGTCGGTGCGTGTGGTGGACAGTGTAGACTGCTAACCAGGTCGGTGCGTGTGGTGGACAGTGTAGACTGCTAACCAGGTCGGTGCGTGTGGTGGACAGAGTGTAGACTGCTAACCAGGTTGGTGCGTGTGGTGGACAGAGTGTAGACTGCTAACCAGGTCGGCGTGTGTGGTGGACAGTGTAGACTGCTAACCAGGTCGGCGCGTGTGGTGGACAGTGTAGACTGCTAACCAGGTCGGCGCGTGTGGTGGACAGAGTGTAGACTGCTAACCAGGTCGGCGCATGTGGTGGACAGAGTGTAGACTGCTAACCAGGTCGGCGCTTGTGGTAGACAGCGTGTAGACTGCTAACCAGGTCGACGCGTGTGGTGGACAGAGTGTAGACTACTAACCAGGTCGGTGCGTTTGGTGGACAGAGTGTAGACTGCTAACCAGGTTGGTGCGTGTGGTGGACAGAGTGTAGACTGCTAACCAGGTCGGCACATGTGGTGGACAGAGTATAGACTGCTAATCAGGTCGGCGCGTGTGGTGGACAGAGTGTAGACTGCTAACCAGGTCGGCACATGTGGTGGACAGAGTGTAGACTGCTCGGCTCCACCGGAGCGTGTGGTGGACAGTGTAGACTGCTAACCAGGTCAGCGCGTGTGGTGGACAGAGTGTAGACTGCTAACCAGGTCGACGCGTGTGGTGGACAGAGTGTAGACTGCTAACCAGGTCAGTGCGTGTGGTGGACAGAGTGTAGACTGCTCGGCTCCACCGGAGCGTGTGGTGGACAGTGTAGACTGCTAACCAGGTCGGCGAGTGTGGTGGACAGAGTGTAGACTGCTAACCAGGTCGGTGTGTGTGGTGGACAGAGTGTAGACTGCTAACCAGTTCGGCACATGTGGTGGACAGAGTGTAGACTGCTAACCAGGTCGGTGCGTGTGGTGGACAGAGTGTAGACTGCTAACCAGGTCGGCGCGTGTGGTGGACAGAGTGTAGACTGCTAACCAGGTCGGCGCGTGTGGTGGACAGAGTGTAGACTGCTAACCAGGTCGGCGCGTGTGGTGGACAGAGTGTAGACTGCTAACCAGGTCAGTGCGTGTGGTGGACAGTGTAGACTGCTAACCAGGTCGGCGCGTGTGGTGGACAGAGTGTAGACTGCTAACCAGGTCGGCGCGTGTGGTGGACAGAGTGTAGACTGCTAACCAGGTCGGCGCGTGTGGTGGACAGAGTGTAGACTGCTAACCAGGTCGGCGCGTGTGGTGGACAGAGTGTAGACTGCTAACCAGGTCGGCGCGTGTGGTGGACAGTGTAGACTGCTAACCAGGTCGGCGCGTGTGGTGGACAGTGTAGACTGCTAACCAGGTTGGTGCGTGTGGTAGACAGAGTGTAGACTGCTAACCAGGTCGGCGCGTGTGGTGGACAGAGTGTAGACTGCTAACCACGCTGCTTGGCCACCCCGTGCAGGGCGACATAGGAGCGCCGGGTCCCAATGGCATTCCATTCGACACCATCTATCCCATCGTCGGGCCCACAAAGACCACCTTCCACCCCGATCAGTACAAGGTAAGCAGCCTGCGGCAGAATTCCCAGCGGAGCTGAGACCTAACGGGTTCTCCAGTCACGTCCGAGGTGAGAAGGCCTCACCCCCGCATTGGCAGACGGTTCCCAAAACACACCGAGGGCCTCTGGGAATGCTCTGGGTGCCGCCAGTTGAGAGACTCGCGAAACACCTTTGCATCCATCTTCCTCAACACTGAGGCAGCCCGAGAATCCACTTGAGAAAGTGCCACTGTGCTCCTAAACTCCTACATATGAAATAATGCGTTGCAATCATCTTCTATTTAAAAATTGAAAAAAGTATAGCAATTTAAAAAAAAAAAAAAAGCTACCATGGACCTTGAGAGCCCGGGTCTCAGGATCGGGGAACGGTGTGGACACCGCGTTGTGCTGGGGAGGAGAGCCCGGGTCTCAGGATCGGGGAACGGTGTGGACACCGCGTTGTGATGGGGAGGAGGGAACCCACCTTCTGAAGTTCTTTCCTGGATCAAAGTCCGTTTTCCAGGGTGTGCCCTGGAACTGTCAGCGTTCTGGTGGCTTGAAACCTTGCTGAGTCTGAGGTGGAAGCGGACACCTGTCCCCCAGCTTCCGCTCAGCCAGGGACTCCTCTCCCAGCCCCCGCGGCCCCTGTCCCAGTCCTTGGAGCTGTGGAGACCACACATGAAATGCTCACAGGTGTCGGGCACACCCAGCACGCGGGGACCAAACTCCCCAAGATGGAGATCAGATTTCTGCAAGTAGAACGCTATCCCGACGCCAGCATCCGTCTCCATGCCGGGGGTCCTTGGTCATGGCTGGGATTTGGCAGACAGAGCCACTGCCTTGGGGACAGAATGGACACAGGTGGCTCTGGGCCAGATTGTGAGTGGCCGTTGACAGCAGTGGCCGGGAGGCGGCCGGTGGGCCTGGCCGGAGGTCAGCACAGTAGTGGAGGAGGGAGCACTCGAGCTTGCTGAGGGTATTGCTTCCCTGTGTGCCACAGAGGAGAGCCGGCTCCCGGGCTGGTCCCCGCAGCCTGCAGGGGGCAGCCGTGGGCTGGGGGAGCCCAGCCTGTGAGCAGTGGTGGGAAAGGGCCCGGCGTGCAAAGCCAAACAGCTGCTCCTGCCAGGGACCTAAAATGTCCCCAAGGCTCCCCTTCCTTAGAGGACCTTGCGGTAGCGCTGTCGCATGGGTGTGATTAGGGGCTCCTCTGCGTGTCCCCACCATTGGGGACGTGACAGACGTGTGACGCGGGAAGCTGCTTGGGGAGGCAGGGGACAGGGTCCCGTCACCTCTCTTGTGCCCGTTTTTCCCTTTGCGGTTTGCAGCTGCAAACGTCCGAGTCGTCGATTGCTATCACCTGGACCGAATCATTGGTTGTCGGGGTTTTACTAAATACGGCTCGCCTCGTGTCGCAAACTCTGGTTTTCAAATGTGACTGCATCCAAACTAGCGAGCGTTTCTCACTCTCCGTCTCCTTTGCAGGGTGAAAAAGGAAGCGAGGGAGAGCCAGGGGCCATAGTAAGTCTGGGCCGGGGATGGTGCGGCGGGCTCCGGGTCCCGGGACCCTGGAGGACCAGAGCCCGCTTCACCTCCTGTTCCTCTCCTAGGGCATCTCCCTGAAGGGAGAGGAAGGGATCATGGGCTTCTCGGGCTCACGGGTAAGCCACACGCCGACGGCGTGACCGCCGCACTCGGGGCTGCTTCCGCTTTGCTTCTCAAGTCGGCTTGCTTTTCCAGAGCTGCTTCAGGTTCCACGCGCGCATGAGCACAAACCACAGGGGTCCCTGCTCCCCGCCCCTCCGCCACAGGTCCCCTGCACCCCTGCACCTGCGCAGGACGTGTGGAAACCCAGGGGGTCCCCCAGCACCTGCGCAGGACGTGTGGAAACCACAGGGGTCCCTGCTCCCCGCCCTCCGCCACAGGTCCCCTGCACCCCTGCACCTGCGCAGGACGTGTGGATACCCAGGGGGTCCCCCAGCACCCCTGCACCTGCGCAGGACGTGTGGAAACCCAGGGGGTCCCCCCGCACCCCTGCACCTGTGCAGGAGGTGTGGAAACCCAGGGGTCCCCCTGCCCCTGCGCAGGAGGTGTGGAAACCCAGGGGTTCCCCGAGCACCCCTGCACCTGTGCAGGAGGTGTAGAAACCCAGGGGGTCCCCCTGCACCTGCACAGGAGGCGTGGAAACCCAGGGGGTCCCCGAGCACCCCTGCACCTGCGCAGGAGGTGTGGAAACCCAGGGGGTCCCCCTGCACCCCTGCACCTGCGCAGGAGGTGTGGAAACCCAGGGGGTCCCCCTGCACCCCTGCACCTGCACAGGAGGTGTGGAAACCCAGGGGATCCCCCTGCACCTGCGCAGGAGGTGTGGAAACCCAGGGGCTCCCTGAGCACCCCTGCACCTGCCCAGGACATGTGGAAACCCAGGGGCTCCCCGAGCACCCCTGCACCTGTGCAGGACGTGTGGAAACCGTGCACCTCCCCCTGGAGCAGGGCAGGGAGCGGAGCGGCCATGTGGCTGTGCCAGCCCCCCTGGGGCTGCCGTGAGCAAAGCTGCAGAGACCCTGGGCAGAGCTTACACCTGGCTGTCCCGGGGTCCGGGCTCAGTGCTCCCTCTTGGGCGTCTCCTCCCCAGGGGCTCAGCCCCCTGCCAGGCAGCTCCTGCCTGCCGCCCCCACCCTGCCCCTCCCCTGCGCCTGGCCCCAGGCTGAGTCCAAGGATCCGGGCACGAAGTTCCTGCGCGTGTCACCACGGCTGGGACACAAGGATGGAGTCTAGCTGCTAGTTCGCCATTAGATTTGTTAGCAGTTTTGTGTGCTTCAGGATTTGGGCCCAAGGTTGGCTCTGTGCTCGGGGTGTGTCCGGCCCAGTGGGCGGGCCCTGCTCTGTGCTCAGGGGTGTGTCCTGTCCAGCCCCATGAGCAGGCCCTGCTCTGTGCTGGGGGCATGCCCGGCCCAGTGGGCAGGCCCTGCTCTGTGCTGGGGGCGCGTCTGGACCCTCCGGCTGGCCATCCTGGGCTTGCACTTCACTTGCTGAGCTGCCCGCGCCTCTGTCTTCTCTTCCACCCAGGGCGCCCCTGGCTTGGATGGCGAGAAGGGATCCCCCGGACAGAAGGTAAGTGCCTGCACGTCCCACGGGGGCGCAGGAGGAGCTGTCGTCCCCAGGAAAAGGCGTGGAGAGAGCCCGAGCTGTCCTCCCAGGCCAGTGACCATACCCGAACTGGTCACCGCCCGCCTTGGTCTCCGCCTCTCCGCACCACTCCTCCCCCCAAGCCCCAGCAGCCTGGCTTCTACGCCTTCCGCCCCCATGCCCCATGAGCCATGGCCGATTACTTGTTTTTACTGTGTGGTCTGCAGACAGATACTTGGGGGAGGTCGTTGATTTAGGAGAAAACGTGGAGAAGTGGATTAAGAATCTGTATCAGCTCTGGAATGGTGCGGGAGAGCGCACACAGAAACAGGGCTTTTTGTGTTGGTGATTCACTCCGTGCACAATCCATGGTGTTGTGGTGTGTGGCCCCTTCCCATGCACACTGGCATCCCCGCATGCCCGTGGACGGCTCCACGAGGCTTACCAAGGACACGTGGCTGAGGGGACCCGTGCTGCTCTGCCCTGTGTCCTACCCCACGTGCCGTGGAGCTGGCTCCACAGCGGCACCTGCATATCGGCCTTGTTCCTCCAGCAAGCCACAGAGAAGGGCAACGCGTGGATGGTTCACGCCAGCTCAGCCGTCAGGCTGGTCCATACCCCACCCCGTGTGTGATGAATGACACGGGGTTCATGCGTGTGTCCTCGCACCTGCTCCTTCCGACATCGGCCCCAGTGGGTGCCCCAACAGATGGCGTTAAAAGATCAAGCCAGCCTTGGGGCCGTGCTGTGTCCTGCTCGTGGCGTCACTACGGCACCGTCAGCAGGCGCTTGAGCACCAGGAGATCCACCACAGGGGTCCCAGACGCTGTGCAGCACAGAGGCCGTGTGGGCACAGAGGGGCATCGGGCTCCGTGGGCACGTGGCCGGCCACGTCAACCACGCGGAGGATCTGTGGCTGATTCTCCAAAACACCCAGAGGGAAAGGAGGGGCAGCTGTTCTGAGGCGGTCAGGCCGCGGTCAGGACGTTGGTCCTTACTGGGCAGAGCAGCTGGAAAAGAGCCCGGCTGGGTGCGCTGTGGCCAGGCTGGGCCGGTAGAGGGCTCTGGTGGGTGGATGCATGAGTCCTCCAAGTGGTCATGCTGCTGTCACTCGTGTTAAGGCCAGATCGACAGTGTCTGTGCTCCTTGCAGGGAAGCAGAGGCGTGGACGGTTACCAGGCCCTGACGGACCGCGAGGACCCAAGGTGACCCTGCTCTTCACTTCGCTACTTCTGACGGGACCCCGCCTACCCCCTGGATAAGGATCCCCCCCACCCTGGGCAGGAGAGGGGCAGGGACAGATGGGGCTGTTTGGCAGCAGGGGGGCCCCACAGGGCTGTGGGAAGCCGGCTTTGCTGTAACAAGAAGTCGGGGTGCCCCTGGCTCCTGTGGGAGGCGGGACTTGTCTGTAACACATGGGCAGTGGCGGCCTGGTGGGGGCCGTGCCGGGAGCAGGGAACTGGCAGGTGGGCAGCTCCAGGTATGTCCAGGCAGCCTGGACGCTGCGTGTCATAGGGGCAGGTGGCGTGACGCCAGGCTGTCATTGCCTGTCCCCGGGCCCCTGCTCGTCCTTGTCCACGCCGGAAGGGTCCCGCCTGCAGAGCGTGCACTCGCCTGGCCGTTCCTGTGTTTTGACAAGGATTGCAAAATGAGATTGGCACCTGCCCGCAGCGCCCCTCCCTCTTGGTGGGTGTGGCTGGGGGCCGGGGCTGGCCCCCGCAGCCTCTGTCCTGTGAGTAAGCGTGGCTGGACAGCCACAGGGACAGTCCACAGCCAGCGTTGTTCCCTGGAAATGCGCACGTCGTCAGGACTCCAGAGCTGAGCTCACGCTGCTGTCTCTCCTGTCCAGGGGCAAGCAGGTGACCCGGGACCCGCAGGACCTCCCGCCTACTCCCCTCACCCTTCGCTGGCAAAAGGTTGGTGTGCAGCCTCTCTCGCGTGCCTCCTCCTGTTTGGGACACAAGTCAGATGCCAAGTCTGGGAGCTCGCCAGGCCTCCGCACCTGCACTGCGCCCACTGCGGCGGGGCCTCAGGCCAGGGGTGCGGGGAGGGACTGGCGTGTGCCACGGCGGGCCTGTCTGGTCGCTTGGCTCCGCCTTCCAAGTGAGCAGGATCGCGGGGAGGTAGGGTTCCCATGCTGTGATCCGAGCGCTGGTCTCTGAACCTCGTTCTGTGTGTATCTGTGTCGGTTCAAAAAGCATTTTGCGCACAGCCTGTTAATAATCCACGCACATCTGTCCTGGACGTGGTCCCGTGGTGTCGGAGACCCGGGGCAGCAGGTGCTGTTCACGGGCTGGGCGCGTGCCCGGTGGGTGCTGGCCTGGCGCTAGATGATGGACGTGGGGAAAGGCACATCTCAGGCAGCATTTCACTTTATTGATCTGAGAGAGGTCTCCCACCTAAATGCCCACAGCAGCCAAGGCTGGGCCGGGGCCAAAGCCGGGAGCCAAGAATGAAACCCAGGTCTGCCGCGTGGGTGACGGGGACCCGGCTGCCGGAGCCCTCACGGCTGCCTGCCAGGCGTGCGTTAGCGGGGAGCGGGAGCTGGAAGCAGGCCCTCCAAGGAGAAACGCAGGCCTTTGATGGCTGGGCTGAAAGCCTATTCCCAGAAAGGCGCTTTAAAGGGTGAGATTTAAAAAAAGAAAGAGAGAGAGACATCCTGGCGTTTCCTTCCTGAGCCCAGCAGCTTGTCTGCTCCCCCATCCATCAAGGACTCGTGTTCCTGCACAGCTGTGCACACTGTCGGCGCCATCACCACGTCCTGTCTCAGCCCGGAGCTGGGCCAGGACAGGACCAGGAGGTCGCCCCCTGCTGGCCCTGGGCACGTTGATGCGGCTCACTGCTCACTGCAGGCCCGGCCGGGGAGGGGACCGAGCCTTGGTGGAGGCGCGGGGCCATTGGACAGCTCCAAGAGGGAACGTGTGGATCCCCGCAGGAGCCCGTTCCGCGGCCAAGCTCCCGGGTTATGAATGCAGCCTCGGTGCCTCGGCCACACGGCCGGCCGCTCTCACCGTGGAGCCGGGCCTGGCACAGGCAGCTGGGCCCGGGAGCCACGTGTTCACCGCCTTCAGGGCAACGCAAGCACAAAACCAGCGCATCCTCCCGTTTAAGGCCTTCGCTTTGAGACTGAGATGTGAACGCCCGCACGCAGAGCGAGGGCGCCCCTGAGCACGACAGCGTGGCCGGCCCTGTTCTTTCTCCTCCCGTCTTCCCCGGCTGTGTTCCAGGGAAGGAAGCGCTTCACGGTCAGGTGTTGCTGTTGACACAGCACGAGACCCTGGTGATGCCCTTGCTTGGGGATGGCAGCCGTGGGAGCCGTGGCCACAAAGACGCTCACCCGTGGGAGCCGTGGCCACAAGAAAGCTCACCCGTGGGAGCCGTGGCCACAAAGACGCTCACCCGTGGGAGCCGTGGCCACAAAGGCAGCTCACCTAGCATCCACTAGTGATGCCTCCTGGCTCTGGGGGTGCTGCCGTCAGATCATCTCCCTACATTCACGCTGTGGACTCCCCTGCTCTGCACCCCAGAACGGAGCCCCAGCCCTGCCAAGTGCTCTGGGCTCGGCTGCCCCTCCCCCCGGCCACCCCTCCCTCCCTCAGAAGACTTGGGAGAGAGGTTCGTGAGCTATTGCACAGTCTGTGTCTGCGCACGTGGGGGCCCAGAGACACTGCCTCCCCCTGTTGTGTGGGTTCTCACCGTCAGGCTGCTGTGCCCACCTTCGGAGCCCCAGTGTCTCGGGCATGTGTGCTGCTGTGTCATGTCGAGCCTGCGGGAGACTCGCGTCACCCCGAAGAGCAGAGACCCAGGGTGTGCACAGTGCGCCAGCCACGTGCACAGGACACTGGCCACGGACGCCTCCTGATTCCTCTCCCGGTCTTGTGTCACTTCCAGGTGCCAGAGGAGACCCGGGATTCCCAGGACCCCATGGGGATCCAGGAAGTCGTGGTGAACCGGGGGATCCCGGCCCCCCAGGCTCCCCGGGGCTGCCTGTCAGAGATGAAGGTAAAGTTGTGGCGTGGTCTCAAGAACACCCAGGACCAGACACGCCTCCACTGGGGTCCTAGCCAGAGCCTCCCTGGCCACGCCGGCTCCGACGGGCCCTGCCCCCCGACTCAGTTACTGGGCTCGGTTACAGCACTAGCAGCCGACGGCGCGGTTCCAGCCGTTGCTTGGGACGAGCGAGGGATCGTGCCGTGTTGTGTCGCGGCTCCTGGGCCCTCATGTGGGAGATGAGGGCAGGGGCTTTGTTAGAGCTGCAAAGGGATGACGGGTGGGGGCGGGGGTGTCCGCCTGTGGCATCGAGGGCAGCCCCGTGGAGCCCCCGTGGAGCCCGCCTCGCCCGCGGGGCTGAGCACCCACACAGCGGCCAGCCCACGGGTGCTGAACGCTCCGACTCTGCTGGATTTCAGATGAGATGAGAGGCCTGCCCGGCGAGATGGGGCCCAAAGGCTTCGCCGGAGAGAAAGGCTTCCCCGCGCTCTACCCAGGCCCGCCCGGCGTGGACGGCAAGCCCGGGCTCCCAGGAGTCCCTGGGCCTGCCGGCCCCCCTGGACCAGACGGTGAGTGGGGGTGGGGGCCGGAGGGAGCCCGCCCTGTGGGTTTTGGTTGTTTCTGTGCCGAATGGTTCCATGCGGCAGTCCAGCGGGCCCGGGGATTAGGGGGTGGTGGGCGCCCCCTGGGGTGCACAGCGGAGGCCCCGCCACCATCTTCACAGTCCTGTGGGCCTTGCCCGCTGTGGCTGCGGCTGCACTTGCGTTCGGGAAGCAGAGGTGAGCTGAGGTCGCTGTCCAGGGCGGGGGGCTCCTCAACCCACCTGCCGGCTCAGCGGTGCACGGCTGCGCAGAGCGCGAGCTGCTGGCCTCCTGGTGGCCCGGGGCCCAGGGCTGGTTTCCGACGCCGAGCTCTGTGTTGGCAACCCTCCTTGCCACCGCCAGGACGAGGGCTGCTGGGAGGTACCGGCAGCGTGGCGCCTCACGCTCCGTCTTCCACCTATTCTCGTTTCGGTCGAAAGGCAGAGAGAGCTTCTCCCCAGATCCCTACTGCGTCCAGGCTGGGGCAGGCCGAAGCCGAAAGCCTGGAGCTCAATCCAGGGCTCCCACTTGGGAGGCAGGGGCCTGGGTAGCTGAGCCCTCAGTCACGGCCCCGGGTGCGCGTCTGCAGGGCGCTGGGGCACGGAGCGGAGCTGGCCGCGGGCATCGGCGCTGTGGAGCCCGGGCCCGCCCTGCTCGTGTTTCTGGGTCCAGGGCAATGGGCAGGTCGCTTCTCTGCTCCTCCGCTGCGTTCCGCCACAAATCCCCACGTGGCCGGTGTCCCCACGCACAGGAAGCCCGGAGCCACGCGTCCTCGCGGAGATTCGCCAAATGGCTCCAGCAGTCGTCCTGTCTGCTGTGGTCCTTAGAGCTGACATCTGTGATGATGGCTCATGTCTGCAAGCTCCTGTCTGTGTGCACACAGCCCAGCGCCTCTCTCTCTCTTTCTCCCCTGCCCCGTCTCTCTCCTCCGCACACAGCCCAGCTCCTCCCTGCAGTCGAGGTCGTCCTCACACTGGGCTGCAAACCCCCCTCCTGAGGGCCCTCTGATGGGCCCCACGGCCTTTGAGACAAAAGCCAAGCCCAGCTGCTCAGACCACGTGGCCCGGCATGCACCTGCCCCCGCCTGCACGCCACCCTGCGCTCCAATCACAACCGCCGACCCCCAGCTTCCTCCCGCCGCAGGACCCTGTAGATGCCCGCTTGCTCTAGAACCTTCCACATGCCCTGGTTGGCTGCTCGCTCGTTCTTTGCATGCCCCCCCCGCCCCTTCTCTGGTGACACTGCTGTGGGTTCAGAGTCCCCAGCGCTGTCTGCTGGGCGTCTGCTCCGCCCCCAGCTGGGCACGGGCGCTGGGCACAGGCTCGGTGAACAAGTGGCCGAGGTGATGACGTGTGCCAAGGCCCGGTGTCCTTGCTCCCCCGGCGCACTCGGACACACCCGGGCCGGCTCCTCCACACGTTCCCTGTGGCAACCTCCCTGTTCCCCTCAGCCCCAGGTGGTGGTTTGGCCACACAGGTTTTCCTCTGTTGGCTCCCGGAGTGCAGACCACTGCCTGCTGAGTGGTGGTGGACAGGGCGGAGCCGGATTCCCCAGGCCTAGGTCAGCTCCGCCCTAGGTCCTGTCTGGGACTTGTGCAGCCTTGCCCTCACCACCAGATGGCGCTCTTCTCCAAGGCCACGGCTGGGCTTCTGTTCCTGTCTAGAGTTCAAGTGGGTTTTTGGTGGTTTTGTTGCTTGAACAGCAGAATGGCCCAAGGGGAGAAAGATCTTCCACCCACTGGTTCACTTCCCAAATAGCCACAAAAGCCAGGGCCGGGCCGGGCCAAAGCCAGGAGCCGAGAGCTCCATCCGGGTCTCCCACCTGGGGGGCAGGCCCCCGGCACTTGAGCCGCCCCCCGCTGCCCCCCGGGTGGGAAGCTGGAGTGGAGGCAGGGGGCCGGGACTCGGATGGGGCTCCTCTGTGGGATGCCGACCCCTGCACCCGTCGTGGGCCGTGGAGCAAGTCCGGCTTCTGTCACCCGTGCCCACGACAGCAGGACGGTGACTTCCCGAGCCCCCTCCCTGGGAAGGGGTTTGGGCCCGAGAAGGCAAGGGTCCCAGTCAGGGCCACTCAGCGATGTCAGCCACACTGAACCCCCCTCGGCCCAGTGCACCCGAGTCAGTTACCACTGCATCCGTGGTGTGTGCGTGCGTGTGTCTGTGTGTGTGCGTGTCCATGTGTGTCTGTGTATGTCCGTGTCCATGTATCTGTGTGTGTATGTCTGTGTGTGTGTCCGTGGTGTGTCTGTGTGTGTCCATGTCTGTCCGTGTCTGTGTGTGTCTGTCCGTGTCTGTCTGTGTGTGTCCGTGTCCGTGTGTGTGTGCATGTGTGTGCATGTGTGTCCCTGTCTGCAGTCCCCTGGGGCTGTGCTCACGCCAGGCCCCTGCTGGCTTTCCTCCTCAGGCTTCCTGTTCGGCCTGAAGGGAGCAGAAGGACGCGTGGGCTATCCTGGGCCTTCCGGCTTCCCGGGGGCTCGCGGACAGAAGGGGTGGAAAGGTGAGACCACCAGGCCCTCAGCACGCGGAAGCCACCGCCCCGCCCCCCTCGGGCCTGCCTGCCTGGCTGCTCCCCCTTGCGGGGAGAGGTCCTGGCCCTTCCCCCTCCACCCTCCCCTTGGCCCCTGCACCCTGGAGACCCCACCCCATGGAAGGAATAGCCCCGGGGTCACCTCCCCAGGGCCTGGGACCACGCTGGAAGCCTCGGGTACACCTGCTTGTCTCTGCGTGCCCGCCCTGGTCCCCGCCACGGCGGGAGAGTCCTTCTGTGCTCACCCGTGGCCTTGGCGCCTGAGACCACGGCGCTGCCCATGTGGCTGCTGTGGCCTGGTGGTGGCAGCCCTGCAGCTCCAGGCACCTCCTCCCCACCCCTGCTGGTCCTGCAGCTTTGCCCACTCCTCTGTGGACGGTCCCCCCGCACCGGATCTTCCGTGAGCAACAGGGCAGGCTTGCATGAGGACACCATGGCCAAACACTTGGCCACTTACTCTCAGCCCCACTTCCCCGCTCTGAGAAGGGCCCCAGCGGCCCCCCGGGCGAGGGAGCATCCGGACCCGGCCCTCCCGCCTGCTGGCCTTGCCTCCCCCAGCCCAGCCCTCCCCACCTCCCCTCCCCTCCCTGCACCTGAGACGTCTGACACTCGTTCCCTCTCCCTCCCGTGCAGGCGAAGCCGGGGACTGCAAGTGCCTGGAAGGTGACCAGTTCCCGGGGGGCTCCCGGGGCTGCCAGGACCCAAGGGTGTCCCCGGCCTCAATGGGGAGCCCGGGAGCAAGGGGGCAGCAGGGAGACCCCGGGCAGCACGGCATCCCCGGGTTCCCAGGGTTCAAGGTGAGTGCCGAGCTGGGGAGATGGCAGAGTCATGGTGTGGATTCTGTATCCAGGACACCGCCCAGCTCACATCATAGCGAAGTCTTTTATTTGTAAAAAGAAACAAATTTCATGTATTTCATATATATAGGTTTTTTTAAAGGCAGAATTAGAGAGAGAGGACAGAGAGAAAGGTCTTCCTTCTGTTGGTTCACCCCCCAAATGGCCACTACGGCCGGCACACTGCGCTGATCCAAAGCCAGGAGCCAGGTGTTTCTCCTGGTCTCCCATGCGGGGTGCAGGCCCAAGCACTTGGGCCCTCCTCCACTGCCCTCCTGGCCCACAGCAGAGAGCTGGCCTGGAAGAGGAGCAACCAGGACAGAATCCGGCGCCCCGACCGAGACTAGAACCCGGGTGCTGGCACCACAGGCAGAGGATTAGCCTAGTGAGCCATGACGCATATATATAGTGTTCTGTTTTGTTTTGGTTTTTACTTATATTTATTTGTTTGAAAAGCAGAGTTAGAGAGACCAAGAGGATCTTCCATCTACTGGTTCACTCCCCCACCAGCCACAGTGGCCAGGGCTGGGCCAGGCCAAAGCCAGGAGCCAGGAGCAGCTTCTGGGTCTCCCAAGTGGGTCAGGGGCCCAAGCACTAAGGCCATTGCTTTCCCAGGCCATTAGCAGGGAGCTGGATCAGAAGTGGAGCAGCCGGGACTGGAAACCGGCACCCACGTGGGATGTCGGTGGCACAGGTGGAGGCTTTACCCCGCTACGCCACAGTGTTGGCCCCCTGTGTAGTTTTAGAGCATAGTGATATCTCCCACCCTCCATCCTCCTTCCTTTGTTATTTTTCTATTTAATTTTGGCATGACCTCCTTTAATCACAGCTTAACCCTCCACTAAATAAAGAATTCAGCAAGTAGTAGGGGGAAAGCCACCGTTCCTCGGGAGTATAGACATGGGCTGCAATCAATCATCAAATCCAGAAACGTTGGCCGGCGCCGCGGCTCACTAGGCTAATCCTCCACCTGCGGCGCCGGCACACCGGGTTCTAGTCCTGGTCGGGGCGCCGGATTCTGTCCCGGTTGCCCCTCTTCCAGGCCAGCCCTCTGCTGTGGCCAGGGAGTGCAGTGGAGGATGGCCCAAGTGCTTGGGCCCTGCACCCCATGGGAGACCAGGAAAAGCACCTGGCTCCTGGCTCCTGCCATCGGATCAGCGCGGTGCCACCGGCCGCAGCGCGCCGGCCACGGCGGCCATTGGAGGGTGAACCAACGGCCAAGGAAGACCTTTCTCTCTGTCTCTCTCTCTCACTGTCCACTCTGCCTGTCAAAAAAAAAAAAAAAAAGAAATCCAGAAACGTCAGCTTCGCTCCTACACATTGTGTTTTTCTTGTGCTCTGTACATGAGTTACAACTCGGGGGAAAACACTTGATATCTGGCTTTCGAGACTGGTTATTTCACTGAGTATAATCGTTTCCAGTCGCATCCATCGTGTTGTGAGACAGGAGTTCATTCTTCTTTATGGCTGAGTGGTTCTCCATAGTGTGTCTGTCCCGGAATGTGTGTATCCAGTTATCGGCTGATGGACATCATCGGTTGGTTCCGCATCTTAGCTAGTGTGAGTTCAGCTGCTGTCAACATGGGGTGGCAGACAACTCCTTCAAAATGCTGGTGTCATTTCCT